GCAACCCTCAGATTGCGAGTCGAGCATCTTAACCACCTCGCCATGCCGGGCCTTATATGTATATAAAAATGCTTATTTTCAAGACTACGTTACAGATAAATTATTAATTATCTTCAATCTCTCAAATTTGATGTCGATATAAACACTGATCTGTCAGTCTTCGTATGTGCTGAATGGTCAGTCTGAGAACAAAATTATTAAGAACAGGTTATTTTCATTTTGTGAAGGAATTTCGAGGGGAGGTGGGGGGGAGGTACTTCCTCGGCCGACTAATCGAAAGAAATATTTCGAAGATAGGAAGATGAACGGGGAAAACGCATGTAGAAAGGATGGAGGATGAACGGGGAAAACGCATACAGAGAGGAATGTGTTTGAGTATATATTTATTGTTGTTCTGTTGTATAATTTTTTTGTCATGTTGGTATTATGTTTATTTATGGTTTTGTCGTACCATGTTGAATAATTGATTTGAATTGCATATCTCCCTCTATGACACTTCTAAGAGATATAACAACTGTCAAAAAGCACTCACTTCTTTTCCTGCGCTCAGTAAAATGACAAGGAACGGTGGCATCCATCGGAAAAAAATCTCTATAGCTACTTAGCGAAACTGAGCGTTCTATTGTGCTGAACGTATCCATTACATCGAAACCCAAATATTTTTGTTAACATTGAATGACAGTCAGTCTACGGTTGTAAATGGCCCACTAGACAATCATATTGCATATACCGCTCTGAAAATTACCCTTGAACTGTTTCAACGAGCATTTGCTAGTTTTATATAAACACGTTAAACTATTCAGAATTTTTACTCAATTTTAACTGCTGGGTCTCTTTTGTGTCGCAAATACACCAAATCGTGACAGCTGGACGAACAGAGGGTATTGTATTCCACAAGTTCATAGACCAATCACTCTTTTCATCGCAGCACTGTTGCTTAGTAACTGTCACAAAACAGCACTTCCGTAAGCACTATTTTTATCGCAGCACTGTTGCTTAGTAACTGTCACACAAATTTACTTCCTCAATTATTGTTTTGATCCCGGCGCTGTCGCTTAGAAACTGTCACACAACATCAATTCTGCAGTCACCATTTTCATCCCGGCACTGTTGCTTAGCAACTGTCACACAGCAACACTTCCGTAATCACTGTTTTGATCCGGCGCTGTCGCTTAGCAACTGTCACACAATTTTACTTCCTCAATTACTGTTTTCTATTGGCTAGCAATGAACATACAAGTGCACTTTACTTACTCGAGTTTTCATATCTTTGACTTTTGCGTTCGTATTATTATTTCAAATAAATTATCTAGCTACTGCTTTCACATTACAAAACGCGGTAGAAGTGGATGCACTGAATGATGACATTTACCAGTTTTATTTTTGTTTTTAATGTCCATGGAACAAGGGTATCTTGAACAAGGCCTAATTAAAACTAAGTAAAACCTAAGCTCAGGGCTCTACTGAGAATTACAGATGGCTTCAAGGCATATCTGAGACATCATAGTTGAAACGGTTCCTTACTTCCCTTTCAGGATATTATGATGACTTCCTAAAAACTTCTTTAATTAATCACGTATCTTTGTAGGCACTGTTTGTTTAATTAAGCATAATAGGTTTATTTGTACTAATCCTTATTTATAAGTCGGTCAACGCTGAAGCTGTATTGATCTGCAGCGTGTAACTTAGCTCGTTCTGTTATGTACCACTAGGGGTACTTCACCGCTCAGAAAAGTTCGTCAACAAATAGACTTTCGAGACGGATTCGCTGCGGCTGAAAGTGAATGTAACTCAAGTTGGTTCATACAGAAAGTAACAAATCTCACGTGATCCTTTTCCCAGCGGCTCAGCGGAAAATCTGCGGGTTTGCGACGCTCAAAATCGGGTTTCGATACCCGTTGCCCTCAGAGCACAAACAGTTCATTGTGTAGTTTTGTGCTTGACAATAACCACCCAAAACCATCTAAACCATTCAGGTTTACGTTACTGTATCGAAACTATTATAATATTGTAACAGAACTGTTATTTACCTTGTTAAACACATTACGGTCACATACACACATACAAAATAAAAATAAAACTAAGGTAGGACCAGATAACGACTCTTTGATGTATAGGATCGTGGGTAACACGACCCTTTAATGTATAGGATCGTGGGTAACACGACCCTTTGATCTATAGGATCGTGGGTAACACGACCCTTTGATGTATAGGATCGTGGGTAACACGACCCTTTAATGTATAGGATCGTGGGTAACACGACCCTTTAATGTATAGGATCGTGGGTAACACGACCCTTTAATGTATAGGATCGTGGGTAACACGACCCTTTGATCTATAAAATCGTGGGTAACACGACCCTCTGATGTATAGGGTTGTGGGTAAGACGACCCTCTGATATATAAGGTTGTGGGTAACATGACCCTCTGATATATAAGGTTGTGGGTAACATGACCCTCTGATATATAAGGTTGTGGGTAACATGACCTTTTGATGTATGGGGTTATGGGTAAATACATGTTCCGCTAGATCAGTTTTGAGTTTCATCAACAAAAGTTATCATTGTTATCGTTCACCAGAGTGTCATAGAGTGCAATGTTTTAAAACTCATGCCATTCTTATAACCTGTGATTGGAAACTTTTAGTCCCATTCTTATAACCCGTGATTGGAAAGTTTTAGTCCCATTCCTATAACCCGTGATTGGAAACTTTTAGTACCATTCTTATAACCCGTGATTGGAAACTTTTAGTCCCATTCTTATAACCCGTGGTTGGAAACTTTTAGTCCCATTCTTATAACCCGTGATTGGAAAGTTTTAGTCCCATTC